CCTAAACCCTACACCCTAAGTCCTAAATCCTGAGAGCCCTAGACTAAGCCGAGGGCAACTCCCGGCCCGGCCCTTTCGTCTCGTTCTCGTCCTCTGTAGACGGAGGGTTTCATAAGGGTTGTCGGCATAGGGTTTAGGGTTTAGGGTTTAGGGTTTAGGGCTCAGGGTCTCTTTGTTTGACAGAGGGTTTCATAAGGCTTTAGTGGGTTCAAGTCTTCAGCAGTTTTCTGCGGTCTTATTGAAGTAGGTTGTGATAGGGTCTGGGGGTTGTTTTGAAGAGGCTCCTTTACGGCTTCTTCCAGGGTTCGACAAGGGCTAGTTTTTGTTGGTTGTATTGTACTAGGTTGCTGGTTTGATCCTGCTACCTGCCGTTCAGGGCTTTAGGAGTTTAGGAGCTCTTATTTGAGCCCTGGAGTTCTTAGCTGGCGGACTATGGGGCTGTTGGGCATCGATTTTCTCGTTCTCCTACAGAGCGTTCCCTAAACCCTAAACCCTAAACCCTAAACCCTAAACCCTAAACCCTACACCCCAAACCCTAAACCCTAAACCCTAAACCCTACTGGGTCCAGTACTCCTGGAGAACTGCTTCTATGGCTAGGGCTTCCGGTCTTCAGTTCTACGTAGCGATCACAGCGTAAGGGTCTTGGGTTTAGGGGGGCTTTAGGGTTTAGACTTTAGGGTTGGGGGCTCAATTTGGGTTTAGACTTTAGGGTTGGCGGCTCAGGCTATAGGGTTTAGACTTTAGGGTTGGGGGCTCAATTTGGGTTTAGAGTTTAGGGTTAGGGGCTTAATTTGGGTTTAGTGTTTAGGGGTTTAGGGTTGGCTTAGACATAAGCCCGGTGGCTTCAGTCTACCGGGCTCTTTAGTCTCTAGACTCTAGTCCTCCCGTCAGATGCGCTGCCCAGAGACCATCGCAACCGAGCCCAAAACCAGCGGACACCAGCTTGCACCCTAAACCCTAAACCCTAAACCGTGTTTATTTAGGGGCCTTAATGCTAAGGCGTTTAAGAGTGGCATAGATATACTCCACGGCCCTAAGGAATGACATTCATGGGTGACTGTTTTAGGCTTCTACTACATTACATTCATTACTCCAGTTATCCGGTATCTTTCTCTAAGGAACCCTGAAAACTACAACCTTCGGAATCGGTCTAGGGTTTGTTGCTTGCCAAGGATTTGGGCTTAGGGATTTGTTGTTTAGGGTTTGTTTTTTTTGCTTAGGGCTTAGGGTGTTTTTTGCTCAGGTAGAGCTTAGGGATTTTTTGTTTTGGGCTTAGGTTTGTTTTACTTAGGGCTTAGGGTTTTTTGCTTGGGGCTCAGGGATTTTGTTTTAGGGTTTGTTTTTTTTGCTTAGGGCTTAGGGCTTTTTGCTAAGGGCTTAGGGTATTTTGCTTAGGGATTAGGGATTTTTTGTTTTGGGTTCTGTTGCTTAGGGCTTTGGGGCTGTCCTCATCGTCATCGTCATCCTCGTCGCCCCAGCCCTCGCCGCCAAGGCCCTCGCCTTTCACCATGGCTTCCTGGCAGGTTACCGAGCTCAGGGTCTTGGAAATACTGAAGCCTACATAGGGTTTAGGGTTTAGGGACATACTGACTGAATCCTAAATACGCTTTAGGGTTTGTTTAGGGCTCAGGGGAATGCTGAAGCCCAAATATCTACAGTAGAGTAGAAATATGTAGCAATACTATGAGGCTCAGAGCATTATTATGCACCAACACCCCACTCTAATGATAAAGGCTGCTAAATGTGACAACACTGAGCACCGGACCCTAAACCCTACATCCGGGACTGATGCTATTCAATTCTACACCCAGAATCGGGTCTACACTGACTAAGACTACTCCTCATACTGACTCCCTAAACCCTAAACCCTAAACCACTGCTCATCCTTGCTGGAAGGCTTGCTGGTTTAGAGCTGCAGGGCGCGAGTCTCTAGAGTTTAGGGATCCACTAGGTTTAGGGTTTAGGGCTTATAGGGCTTATGGGGTGTAGAGCTCAGGGCTTATAGGGTTTATAGGGTTCGGGGATCCAGCGGTGGAAGCTCGGCCGTTGAGGCTCCATCTCCTGCTCGCTCCGCCCTCTTGGCCCGACAACGTGGAAAACTCAAAGATCTTAAAGCCTTACTATAGGGGCCTTAGTACTGAGAATAGGGTTTGGGGATATACTATACTATAACTCGAATAAGGATCCTTCAAAATCATACATGTAGCTATTCAGGCCCCTATAAGCCGCCCTTGCCCTAAACGTCCCTACAGACCCTAAATCCGAAGCCCACTCCAGAAGAAGATCATGACATTCTGGTTTCAGAGTGGTTTAGGGTTTAGGGTTTAGGGTTTAGGGTTTAGGGTAGTCCGTACCCTGTAGCACTGAGGCCCTAGAACTACGACTGACCACCAAGACTCGCTCTTCCAACAAACCCTAAACGGTCCGAACCCTCAGCGCTAAGCCGTGAACTTTAGGCCCTCATCCGCCGCCGCAGCCCTCAACCCGGCGCCGAAAGATGAACACCTCAGCCCCAACTAAAGTTGCAAGGTCCCTATCTATCTGTCTATCCATCGATCTATCTATCTGTATATATGCAGAGTATTATATTATGTTATATATATATATATAATATGTGTGTGTATATATATATATATACATACACACATAGTCTTGAAGCCCTGCTGCCCGCCGAGCAGAAGTGTCGAAGGTTTCAGGTTGG